ATGTTAGGAATCAACTGGAGAGAGAGATGGCTGCGATATGAATTGTCAGAAGTGGCCCAATCGCTTGGCCTCCTAGGTCGCCAAATTTAACCCCAGTGTTTTTTTTTTCTTGTGAGGTTCTGTGAAGAACATTGTGTACCAGGTTAAGATCAACGAGTATCAACACCTGAAAGCCCACATAAGGGACGCTGTGGCTACGGTAACATAAAACATGCTTCAAACCTGGATATTTGTCGTGCCACCAAGGGAGCCCACATTTAAATTTATTAGAGAAAGTTATATATGCAGAAAAAACTTTGTTAGTTTCCCTTTGTAATGGTGTAATCCACTAATGTGTATAGTAATTTCTTTCTGAGATATAGTTATTTTATTTTGGATACCTTTCATCCGGACATCCTATACATTTATTTAACATACCAATAAACGACATTTTTATGCCCAGTTCTTTGGATCAAATTATAACTTTTCTGCTTTTATTCGAGAAATATTGGGTTTAAATTTCGATCGAGATACTAACCGTGCTGACCGGGCTTTTCGTACTTTTACTGAGTCCCTCCTTGAAAATACAGGAATATGCGCTTAAAATACGCCACGACCACTTCCTCCCACGTTCCTCTTTCTTAATTATTCACTATTCTCATTCATAATTGTAAAAAGTAAAAAGTAAAGATATCCCTGTAAGAGGCCCACATTTTCTAGACAGTCGGCTCATAGAAGGCGACAAGGTTGTCATCCCCACGCGCCGGCCGCCTTTACCCCCAAGAATATTGCTAGTACTCATTTCTGTTAGAGGCTGATTCGACCCCAGGGCCATAGTTCGGCTGAAAGGATTAGGTAAATTGAAAAAAATCCAAGGACCTCATCAGGACTCGAATATTCGTAATTGTATAATCTTAAAATGCTGTATCTTGTTTGCGTAAGAAATGAATATAATCGCTCTACACCATCACAGATTTTTATTTCTGCACAATATAGTCAGCTCCACAATATATTACGGTCATGTGACCATCATCAGGTAGAAATTACAGTCTGGGTTAGTAACTCCATGGAGCGGAGTCCTTCTTGAGACATCGCCAGTCGCTAAGCTTCTTAAGACTTTTATGGAATCCGAAATTTCGTTACCGTGTTCACAAGAGCCCTCTACAGGTCAATATCCCAGGCCAGATCAGTCCAGTCCATAACAGCCCAGCGTCACTAAGTAAACTACAAATAAAATATCCCAGGCCAGATCAGTCCAGTCCATAACAGCCCAGCGTCACTAAGTAAACTACAAATAAAATACAGGGGCTCCATGGAACTCGTGGAATCATTGCCGAATAACAACAGACGATGTCGTCGGATCTACAGCGCTTGGTCTGGCGATCAGAAGACCCGAAATTTCCAAGTGGTGTGGCAAGATGACAGTTCTGATATTTCCAGTACTTGAGAATGTGAAAATACCATCCCCCCCCACTTTTACGATATTCTTCCTAAGAAAAATGTAGCCGCAATAAAGTATGTGAAGATTTTCAGAGAAACGTGGGAATTCGCTCCACTTAAATGTACATAATGTAGCACGATAATTTTATGTTTCATAATGATTAGCATTACTTTAATAACCCCGTGGAACGGAGTCCTTGAGAAGATGACAATCGGTTAGCTGCTCAGGAAATAACTCGACTTTAGGCCTACACGTTTGTCTATTTATTGTTTATTTAATGATGCTACCAGTAGGTCATTATATTGCCGAATTATGGGATGATTAATGAACAGTTAATTGGAATATGAGTAAAATAATGCACGATGTCTGTCTCGGTAACCGGAAATCCAGCCTTACCGTTCCAATCATCACATGGATACTTGTGAGTAAATAATGCCTTGTAGTAGGCCTACATAAAATTATTTTTAAGGATTGTATCCTGTTGCTTATATATACAATGAACATATATAATTTTTACCGTCAACGCAACAATACTTTATTATTTATTTATTTATTTATATAACACTTAACAGTTATAGTGCGTGCTATATAAAAATTAATAATAAAGAATTATTACGTTGACGGTAAAAATTATATATGTTCACTATACAAAATTCGTGAAACACTCTCATGTTGCTGAAGATTCCAGGAATGTTGAAATTGACTCGAGGGTGCTGAATTCTGCAGGACAGTGTAAATTCAGTAAGACTTACAAATAAGATGATTCTTTCAAGGCCTTCTGATAATTTGTAAGGCGCAGTGGTGAAAAGTCTCCTTTATATGTCTGTCATGAACTTGACATGGTTCTCCAGGCTTTTCAACCGCAGTCGCTTTATTTCACCTTTATGTTCACACGGCATGGGCAGTGGTGAACAGAGCATTAGTCTTCCCTGTGGCAAATCGCACAAGTCTTCCTCTTGCCAGGCTACCGTGTTGATGAGGACAGTCGTGGCGCACGGATGTAAACTTCTGACGAAAGCGCCTAAGAGAGTGTTCCTTCAGAGTGTTCGGCTTAAATACATCAATTAATTGACTCACACATATGACCGAGCAAGATGGATCAAAAGATGACGCTTCTCACCTGCATTCTGGATCCATTTTAGCCAAAAACAATTCAGTAACGATGGTTGTACACTTATGTGAATGTCTGAAGTTTATAATTTGTAGCGTTATTGTAATAAAAGAGAATACAATATTAACACGTTAATATCAGATTTATATATCGATTGTTGCGTTGAAGGTCAGACAAGTACATCTAACAGTGTACGCAACAGGATGTAAAAATTAAAATTATTTTATTCTGGAGGTCACTCGTTCGAAACTTCGCTGGGATACCGACGATCCTGACTAAAGAGTTTCGTGGTTTTCGCAGTTCCTGAAGGAAAGTGCTGGGATATTAGATCAAATAGTCTACCTGTATGATCGCGTCCTCCTTCATCCTCTTAATTTTTTTTTTTTTGCTATCATCCAATCACTCGATGCCGTATGTTTTGAGTTATTTATTGACAGCCTCGTTAAATAAACTACAAAATAAAATCCAGTGTATATGATGTTAAGCATAGTCTAAAAAAGATGCTTAGTAGTTCATGAATGGCGCGTAAGTAAGGTTAAGGTGTTAAGACGTCGTTGCTTATTTCGAAGTGCTGTCCTATCATTCGTCTGGAGGTACCGAGGAGAGCTCATCGCCAGTGCATCCTCTAACCTAGACGTGTTTCGAATCAAATTGAAGTCTGTAGCGATATCTGTGTACCAATTTGCTCGTTGTTTCAATTCAGGATTGGGGAATGGACCTTGTCGTATGAGGGTTGTGTAGATACTGCCTCATGCAGAACTTAGATGTACGTTTGCTACCTATCTCCACAGAAACTTTCACCTCCATAGTTCCATAGGTTCTTTAGATATCTTCGTAGAACATAAAACAAAATATAGATTTCACGCTACCACCATATTATTGTTTTATATTCTACAAAGATATTTTACATAAATTGAATATTTTTCGAGGGTTCTTACCATACCAGATTTTTGGGCCATATATTAATTGGTCCTAATGTCGCACCCTTCTTACAATTTCTCACGACAGCCATATTGATATTATTGTTGGCAGGGAAGTATGAACTACAAACGTGACACGTGATGTCCATGCCACATTTAATAACATCCCTTCGGTTGAGATGCTGGTTGTTAAGCGGGAACAGACGCTCTGACACGAAATCTTTCCTGTTATGGTATAAGAAAACTGAGCTATTGAAATAGGCTTATGCATTATCACGGAGTAATTTGAATCGATCGGTGAACTGCTATGTTGTTCAGCCCTGGTGCAGACGGGTATGTTAAATTCATTATAGCAATGAAATATCCTTAATTCTTACTTGCCTTGACCTTCCTCGTCTGCTTCACTCCGCAGAACAAGTATCTTGATAAAACCCGGTAATTTTATGTTCTGTAAGCATGTTATTATCTGAGAAGGAATTACTAAATCTCTACCTACGCTATTCGTCTGCAGAAATTATTCTTGCATAATGAATGCAAAATGAGAACAGTTCGCAATATAATGCTAGGCCCACACGGGCTTACCCCACCAATGATTCTTCCCGCTTCTTTTCGCAGAAGCTAATTAGTACTATCTTCTGGGAGCAGGGTCTTATTTGAGAAGGCAGCTGTGACAAAATCGGTCAAGAAATTATCACCATTATGATGCCCCATATTGCAGGACGGCGTATACAAAATCCCGCTATTGTAATCTGTACAAATCGTGCCTTTTTTACCCTTACGTAACATCAGAGTTTCCCATCTTTATTCCCATTAGTTCCAAATATTTTTCTCTCGCAATTTTGTTTGAAAACATTTTTGTCTTATTTTATTCCCACAAAATCAGAGACCCCCATATCACAACCACACAAACTGATGGATAAAATTGATTTATAGAAAGGTAATTTTAGGAAATTATCTTTACTCCTCCGAAAGTATATTTAAAAATAAAAATTTTCTGCACAAATTAAAGTTTATTGCTATGGAGAGGGCGACGAAGAAGTTTATATTCTAATTTAAAGGTTATTTAATAAGAGAAACGTCGGTCACTCTACAAACCACAAAACTTATCTGCCCACACTTTTCCCATCATTTGAACGTCAGTTTATTCTCATCTGTCTTGATTTTATAACTTTGATGTCGCAATTTTGAGAAATTGGCGGCGTGAACACCCAAATTTATCCTTAAAATAAGAGACCCACTGTTCACTTCCTGACTGCGTTATGCAGTTACATGCATCAGCCAGCCGACACTGGCATGGCTATGTTTGATGTGTACAAATCTTAGCTCATCTCCAAGCCTCCGATGCCAGAACTGGGTGAAGTCCATTCCAGTCCGTTCGCAGAAGTGCAGCCGGCATTGCGCATCGTTTCGTTCTTCAGAAAACTGAAGTGTGCAGGTGTCTAGGGAGTGCGCTGAAGCTACGGTGTGTGACTGAATCAAATGGAGCTCTGGTAATCGAGTGTGTGACTGTTTCTGTTAGAATTCCCTCTTATAATACACATGCACAGTATCACGTTTATTAAGGAATGTGTTTTATTTTTCAACAGAGGTAAAGAATACATTATCTGCCATAAAATCCGTGTCCATAACGCTTATGCCCAAATCCTCCGTGCCCATATCCTTTATGTCCATAACCACCATAACCACCAGAAACACCATATACAATATACACACGCCCTACACCATATCCACCATAACCACCATGTCCGTGTTTGTATCCATGTCTGTATCTGCCACCATAACCGCCACCATATCCATACCCATAACCTCCATATCCGCCACACATAACCTCTGCTAGGATCGCCAACAAAACAAAGATAATCTGTAAAAAAATATTTTAGAGTGTACATTTTTGTAGCTGAATTAGAACGCTAAGAAACGGAGTTTTTATTTCACACAGTAAATTTGTTTTCAGATGGCGGTGAACAGTAGTTTCATTATTTGTTCTGGGTGTCTGTTTGCATAATCAGACAGGTATCTAGGGATAATCATATGCAGGTCTCAAAACATTCTTGAAGTCCATCATGATTACATGCTAAGATAAGTAAAATCTTTTCAAGTGTCTCTTATTCAGTGGATATGGAGGTCTCTGCCGGGGAAAAAGGCTGCAGTGCTGTGAAGATGGTCACTCACCTCCATTTGCTGCGGAGATTAAGTTTGCGTGGAGCTATACCACCACTCCTCATACGTCTTAATTGTTCTGTATTTAAATACATGGAGAACTCAGCCGTTTTGACTTTCATTTTACAATTATACAGTCAATTTTGAATATTTTACAGTATGTAGTTTACCTGGTTATAATACAGGAGACTTCAAAAACATTCTTAACTAAAGGCAAATTCATATATTTACTGACAAGAATTCACAAAGTTAATATATGGCCCTTTGAAAATATCTTCATAGGCTAGTAAAATGTATTTTTACATGAAAATTAAAATTTATTTTTATTTACCCTCTGGGACTTTGGTCCTTTATTTACTATTTCTTTTTCATCATCAATCTAGTGGTAAAATTTTATTTCCCGGAAGAAATTTTCTACAAAATAAAACACATGTCCGTGCATTCTCAGAAATTTTCCAGGAGAAAAATATTTCGTGTGTCTATATACGTTGTACATCGAAATTATTTAGGTACTTTGAACTTTTAACTTAAAACAATACCTCATGTTGCATAATTTTTATCGGAATGTAATGTATCTAATAAATATTAATATGAGCCTGAAATTCCTAGTACAATGAAATATATTTTCTGAAATAAGTATGATTTTTTTAAATATTAGATTTTAATTTACATTCTTTTACATAGTGACATTCTTTTCCTAATCTTAAATATAATTACAGACTCTCTGAAAATTGTTCCTGAGAACCCTGTATTGATAAAAGTGCCGGAAGCAGAGGAGAGATAACTTGCATCTATAGAATGGGCTATATTCTACGTGGAAGGCAGGCCCATTTTCTTAATGTCAGACATACATACACAAAGAAATACTAACCAGATATCTTGTCATTCTGCTGAAGAATGGAGGATACTGAATACAAATATTCAATATAGAACTCTGCCACAAACCGGAAAGTTCCACGATCTTCTTCAAGAGATATTCAGAACACAGTGACAAGTAGACTCTTTTATATACCGCCCCGGCATCATGGCGGATTTATTCAAGGACTTGAACCATTTCACCCGTGCCGCCAATAGAATTGAATCTTATGTAATTTTTCAGTGTGGGAAAGGTAGAACACAAGTCCGTTGCAAACATAATTTGTTTTGAGGTTTGGTAAATCCCAGAAGTCTTCTTTTATTCGACTTTAGTCTCTTGTGAGCAGCTTTAAGATAAACATTGTCTGTTTATGCTAAAAGTAAAATGCGAGAAACGCCAATTCATCTTCACCTTGACCTTTCTGGGCGCACACAAGGAAACACGCATTTCTGTAAAACGTAATTACGTTGCTCGGATTAAATGTGATGACATTGGCTGAGTGCGACTTGATAAACCTCCGATTATGCAGTCAGTCGTGTAACATTCATCAATCAAATTCTTGAAGCAAAATTATGTTAGAGTGTTCGAAGTCAAGGTACTGTCCCCACTAAAAGTAATCTTAAGAGACAGAGTTTAACCACAAAGAACTCAGGAAGATGTTCTAATCTAGAAGAGTCTACATCCATAGTAGGGTTCTTCGTAATTGGTTCTCTTTGCCTTATAATTTTCTTCTTCTTCTTCTTCCACCTTGATTGCTTAAGCTGTCTAGCCTGTGTCAATTAAGAATTAATGCATTTTCCTGAAATTATTAGGAGAATTTGATACAGAATTGTTGATGGATGGCACTTGCAGTACATTTCGGAAAATGAGAAGAAACAATTAATATGACTATCGTAAGGAAGGGAACCAATTCGGAAACGGGGGTAGAGGTGAGGACAACATTAAAACTGGTTTTAGGTGTGACGTTTCGAATGGATAACTGTTTGAGGCACTATGCTACAAGCTGGTAGGTCGCGGTTTCGATTCCCGATGGAGTCATTAGATTTTTCAATTGATCTAATCCTTCCAGCTGCACTTATGATCCTTGGTTCGAATCACCTTGTTACAGAAATGAGTGCCGGGAATCTTCCTGGGAGTAAAGGAAGGACGGCGCTTACGACTGGCAATCTCACAGCCATCTGTGAGCCAGTTGTGTAGAAAATATGGGAGCCTCGACCTCTCACAACCCTATGGGCTTGTTACAGGGATAGCCTTGCCTTACCTTAAGTTAGGATCTGGTAATTGGAGTTTGTGTATATGTTTATAAAATTCTGGGTTCTGTAAAAGTAAGGTTTTTTGATCGGCTGGGTAACTGTCAATTGATCAAAGATGATCATGGATATTTGTGGTAATTTGGAATTTTAACAAAGTAAGCTGCAATGTTTTTAAGAAACTTATCGGTCAGTCAGTGGCTCCTATTTAGCGAATTCAAGACATATGTAGGAAGTATGGACACTCGAGAATATTGTTGTAATCATTGAAGCCTGAAAAGGAAACAATAAGGAATAATAAAATAGTGTTTGAAATTGGGAAGTCATGGGAATGCGAGATAGGCTTTACTTTATATGGAGAGAAAAACGTCATTTTGTTAGGTCCCCAGGCTTCGACCACTCGCCATTCTTAAAAGGGTGACGTGAAATTGAAGACAGAATTGTTGGAAGTAATGGCGAATAAAACTTTTGGAAGGAAAATCTGGTAACCTTAACAACAGAACCATTTATTTGTCATGGATATAAATCGAGAGGGCTGCATTGGAAGCAGACAGTAGCCATTTGGGAACCATCTCAGCATTTGTTTTAAGAAAGAAGCCGGTCGCAGGAAACTTCGGACGGATGCTGAATTCTAGCCAGCAGTCCAGCAAACGAAAAGTATTCTGAAACATGAACTTCGTTGAACGAACTCAGATATTACTCAGCCTCGTTTACTGCTGTTTATTCTCATAATCATGCCAAACCCAAAAATACATTTTATGGGAAAACTGTAAAGAATATAATGTTAAAACAGCGGTACATGCGGCAACTGCTGTGTTATAAGCGATTTAAATAGGCATGTGGGATTCAGTGAACATTACATATACTAAAATTTTGTTTCAAAATTTGTCTTCGGGTGCCAATATCTGGATAGTGCAGGACTCATTTCGAAGCTAAACATGATCTACCTGACTGTTAATTTACCTATGGAATCTGTCGTTCACATCCAAATAATTGTAATGAGGTTCTGTCATTTAAAGTAAACTAGCAATACTTGTACAAAACTGTCTTACGACTTGAGTGGAGTAGACTGATTAATATAATAGTGCTGTTTAAAACCCGCATGTTTATCGAACATTTGGGTTCGAGTTGCCTTTTGACCAAGGACAAGATCCAGATCCAATTCTATCCACTTTCCACCCTGTAACCTATTTCCCTGAGGCCCGTTTTAATGTAGTACTCCCAGCCTCTTAGTCGCCTATTTGTATGCTGCTCCACCAGCATTTTGTGCATATGTCCAATCTTTCCAATCTGAGCTCTATGGACAGTCCTTCACAGCTTACCTTTTCCCATCTTTCTATAAACCTCAAAATTTTGCCGTTACGTAACACATCGAAAACTACTTCCAGAGCCTTCTACATTTAAATCTTTCTCGAATATTCGACACCGTTCTATACATTGAAAATGTTCTGAAGTTTCTTTAGTTTGCTGGGAGAGGAGTAACTGACACAAATCATGGGATTGTCTCGAGTTGCAGAAGCATATTTTATCTTGCTTAAGGCCATATATTTCCTGAGTATCTTATTCCGAAATTGAAATCTGGACAGAATACTACAAGTCTTAATTTAATAATTAGTTTGAACTTCCTAAATGTATGACTCTTTTTATTTCAGAGAAAAGTTCAGAATTATTTTAAGGAAACTGTACTTTCGAAAACGTTTATCATCATCATCATTGGCAAAACAGCCCTTCTTGACCCATAGCCTTCCTTGAAAGATTCTGCGAATTTAGACTATCCGGTTTTCACTTCTCTGGATTTCGCAGCAGTAGCAAGACCGTCAGCCATCCGTCAAACCCCCACCCGGAGGGCCAGGTCTCTGTATTTATGTCCCTCAGTCACAGAGTGGCCCAGTTATACCCCGGGCAACGGATTATCTTTTCTTCGCCTTCTACGACTCGCAGGGCTATGGTGGAGGTATTTTAGCCCTCCTGCACACGGGGATTTCACAATTGTTACGCAACCCCAAAACATAAAGGAATCCCTGCCTCATTGCTTCTGCATTTCTTGACCTTCGTGAATACAGGTGTCATGATGGGTAATGAGATTTTCACTTTTATGCAACGGAGGACTGCAACCTGATGGCCTTGGAGAATCAGGTTATTGCCCTAAACACTGGAAATCAGAGATTAGCTTCATCAAGTGCTGCCTCCTCACGACGAAGTAGTGCATCAAGTGGTGCAATGTAATGAATGTGCTGTGCGCGTCACCTGGTGCTCACTTCCAGAACCAGGATTTGAAATGTGTGCTCTTGTTTGAAGTACGTACATAATGCGTCACTGGAAATGTTGCATGCAATATGGAATTTGCTTTCCACTTCTACCTGACTAATTCCATGAAGTTGTGTCCTTCTTGAGAAGTTAATTATCTGTCGGACAGTAAAAAACTTCCCTGTTTCTGGATCTCGTCTCCGTCCTCAGGCAGAAGCGCCCTCAGTTGAGCCCAATCGGCAGAGGTATTCTGCTTCCGGACATCGGAACCCGAGAACTGCTAAATGGATTTTCATAAAATGTGGTATTATGAAGGCAGAAGTTTGCCGACGTTTCGGGGGAACGTCGATAAATTTTACCAGACTGCTGTGACACCACATCCCGGAAGGTAATCACAACTGTGAACGTATCAACCATACCACGATATTAGGAACATTTACTAAACTTCGTCGATTTGTCCACAATCAGATAAAAATAACGGGCATTTTTGATGGAGATCCACAGGCGTTTCTGCACACAACTCGTTTGTAACTCGCTAAATATTCATTGGCAAGGAAAATGTGTGTCTCGAACATAAATAATAACACATTTACCTCAACACAAATTTCTGCAAGGCTTAGAGTCTTCGACGTAATTAAACAATAGTAATTGTCTCCAACAGTTACATTCCTTTCAGAAGTATATTTAGCCCTGTATGTACAGTTACGGAAAAGTTAATGCAGGAAAATATTTGCAGAGGATGAGGTGGAAGGGACTGTGTGGATCACGTGACTGGATTGTCACAGTTTTAGCATGTACAGAAAACATGCTAGTTGAGAACCTGCGTTATGCAGTAATTATATCTCTGGAAGTTATCAGATAAAGCAACACCTACGTGGTAATGGTTTTATGTATATTTTGTTAGCGTACATGATCACCATTATACACTACAGAAATATTCACGCTCACAATAACAAAATATTTCTTTGTCTCTTAAGCGTTCATGAAGCCAAAATAGTTCTCTTCTTGATGTTATACTACATTTGTAAAAATAGTCTATTTTGTCATGTTATAAAGATCTCGTTTATTTCAGATGCTACTTGATTTTACTGTGTATTGAAGTGTCTGCCAAACTTCTGCATATGGACACACACTAAGTACTGAAGGTGAATATTTCACATCACACCACATAATAAATTGTTATAAAGTTGTGTGTATGCACATATTTAGTGTGCATACCCGTATCAGTTTCACGTTGTTTTTTCCAGTGCTTTATAATATTTACATATACATACTCTCTCTCTCTCACACACACACACACGCAGTCATTATGCACTTTTGTAATATTCACTAAACTTTAATTGTAACGCGTTTCTTTACGAGTCCGAAGTCGGGCGGAAAAGGCGGATGGGTCTCCCGTCAAGTCAGGCCGACTCTTAAAGCACAGGTTCGCTTTACGGCTGCGTTTCTAGAAACGAGCAACAGACTACAAGAATGGGAGATAAATTAAATGTTAAATTTTCAGACGGTAATTCTGGAAGGCACAATATGGTATAGTGTTATACGGGATATCAGTAGGTCTGTGTGGTAAAATATTGTCACGTGTAGGGGGGGTACTTGTCGCTAATAATAGTGGGTTCTAGATTTGATTGTCGGATTTGTTGGACGTCCCTATTACAAATACTTTTGATTACAACAGTTCACTCATTTTACTCCTTCTTGGTAACAAACCTCTCACTGCGCTCCAGCCTCTAGTCTTCTACTTGAACTCTCTCCGACTGGCGGCTTCTTATAACTGTTGAGCGGCTGTGATAGAAGACAGCCTTGAAAGATTATATTCTGATTTTTGAGATCGCATTTTGTCGGAAACCATTGTAATTACAGTGGTAACAAAATCTCCTGCCGTATATTTGTTTACAACGTAACCCTCGAACGTGTGTAACCAGTCGTTTCTTAGCAATGGTCATCTTTTCTGACTTCAATGCGGGAACAGTGTTTACCCAGCTATTGGCTTGCAATGGACGTTTGCTTTGACTTCGATATTCCGGCTTTCAAGCGGTTGCCTGTCAACGGACGCCTGGCTCCAACTCCAATATTGCGGTTTTTAGGCGTCATGTCACAATATTATTTTGGCTGCTAATTATGATTTTAATTTTACCTAGAGGCGATTAAACGTAATAATATACATTCTGTTTTAGGCGTATGTTTTCTTATTTTTTAACACTGGTATTGAATTGGCACAATAGGTTACATAATCGAATAGTTTATTTACAAAAAATGCAGTGCAGAATTGTTTTGCCGTTTCTCTATTTGATCTCTCTGCAGTTACACAAGACAAAAACGAGAGCATTAGAATTATTGCTATGAAAGTTTGGGGGTTATCTTTCTGATTTTGAGGAAGGTCACCCATTCACTGACAAGATTTTGTTGCTTTGCGTACCTGGTCTCTTTGTTAGTATCTTCACGTTTGTCACCTTACCTTCGGTACTGATATGGATAATAAACATTTGGATATTGATAACCAGTCCTGTATGGATACCCATTTGGGAGTTGATATCCGTACAGCGGATAGTTAGGATAACGGTTTAATACACTTTGGGGATAACCACCAATTCCATTCTGATAGCCATTTGGAGGATAAAAGTATCTGCTGTTAGGATATCCGTAATATGGATTTGGAGGATATTGATATTGATAATATGGAGGGTAAATTTCTGGATTTTGAGTATACTGTACTTCTTCGTGCGAAGGATATGCTGCCAAACGCTGCTTGTCGGATTCTGCAAGCGGACTTCTGGAAGAAAGCGCTGTCTGTAATGCGGATTCTGTTATCGATTCTGACGTCACTGGGGTGTATGTGGTAAAATATGCAACCAGCATGAGAGCGGATGCAACCTGGAACACGGTAGCAAGACAGTACGCTTATACAAGGGTTTGTCATCTCGAGCTAACAAATAATTTCACAGCATACAGTGCTGCAGATTATTCCTGTGGTGACAATCAGTTTGAATACTTATTTATTTTTAATATCACGATTAAGAAGGGATTAGCATGTGAATATTTGTGCTGAAAAAATAAATGATATGTTTTTTTTTGTTATTGCTAGTGGGGTGGGACTAAGTCCCTTGTACTGCGGCCACTTCTGGCCTATTGTACCAGCCCCAGATGATAGGTGAGGGTGATCGTGGAGCAATTGGTGGAATGAAGATTGGCAGGGGAAACCGAAGTACTCGGAGAAAAGCTGCCCCAGCGCAACTTTGTCCACCATAAATCCTACTTGATCAGACCCGGGATCGAACCCGGGCCCCCGCGGTGGAAAGCCAGCGACTAAATGATGATATGTTAGTGTAATTCTGAGAAATGTATTTGCTTTCACGATGGATAGGCCCATTTTTAGTGTTCATTATAATAACTGATATCCACAAGGAGAACTGACAGTTTTAATCATTTTGTTTGTTCCCACGGGATAAATTGACAGGAGTGAAAGTGGCACAGTCTGTTAGGAAATGTAATACGCGAAATTACTAAAGGCATTCTTTGAAACTCTTAGGCTTATTTAAAAGGGGGAATAATGAAATTAAATTAATGAAGGCCTCCATCTACCTCGAAGATGAAGACGGTAAATTCCACCGAAACTTCGGAAACAACTAAACAGACTACACAGCGTCAAGTCCCAGGGGACAGCAATCTGCATTCTTACATACTGTGCATACAGTATTTACGGAACGAGTTGTCTTTAACGTCAGGAGAATTCTGGCGTAGTCTGATTTTCGCTACATGGACCTAATTCTTCAGGACTTCGTATTCTCGTGGCTAATCAATAATACTGGTTACAGTAAGGCCACAGAAAATGAATTACCGCATTTTGTCTTTGTTTTTATTCTGTTAATGGAAGTAGTTTATTTTGGGTTCTGGACGTTACCTTCATTTATTACGTAATAATTACCGAAACAGAGAAGCTTCATAGATATAACCCGAATTGCAAAAGGCTGACTGTTAATAAGCCTCCTTCACTTGCAATCTGATTTTTATGAAGATTCAGAAATAATTTCGGCAATATTTGATAAGAAATGTTGAGAATTCTTGTACATAATATTTCATCGCAATATTTAAGGAACGGTATACGTGTAAGAAGCATCTAAAGTTGAGAACCATATTTGTTGTTAATGATATGACTTTAATAGATTAAAGTTTTTCCATACAGGCAACAGTGCACCCGTCAGATTCTTCATGGGCCTTATTCACGTGTGAGTGAATGTTGAGGTATGGGAGTAAACTGAATTGTTGCAACAACAAAAATGAATTAAATAATAAATTTTTGACGCTATATGTATTTCTTACAAAATTCAGAATTGTACTTTAAATAATAACATGGCGAACAGATGATTCATAAAATGAACCTTAAGAGTTAAGCATGAGATATTTTGTTTAACAATAAACAGCAAATACGTTTTCCTTAGCTTTGCGTGTGAAAGGCGTGTGAAAGTGGATATGAATACAAATCGTGAGCATACCTGCTCACTTGATATTGTAATTTAGAGATTCTTTTACAAGAGAAACTAGAACACTCTGTATGTAAAACATATCTACCCTTCTCTACATCTGTAAATTGTTGGACACGTTTTAATTTACATTCGGTAGGGGACTTTTTATTTATATCATAAATAGTTAATCATATTAAATAAACAAACTGCAAGCAAGTAAGATTTGAGGTTTCACTATGAAGAATACCGTCTTCTGGGATGCGGCGCCATGTAGATATTGTGTCTTCAGCCACCTGCTCACGCTGGCTCCTCGCTCGCGGATTTTTAATAAACTGAAGATGGAGGCGATACATTCCTCCGAAACGTCGGTTAACGCAATATCTACTCTGTGTTACATCCCAGAAGACAGCATTCTTCAGACTTCAAGTAAGCTTAAGAAATTGAAAATAACGTCTTTGGAATTGTAGAATAGACACTGCATTATGAAGTAAACACTTTCCAATATTCTTACTAATTAAAAATTAAAACATGGCGACGGTCTTGAGTTTATGTCTGATAGCTTCCATATATTTACTTACTTAGCTGTGGCTTGTTTAAAGACGCTTTCCATATCTCAGTGCAAGGAACATCGAAAGAATTTTGAGATTCCAGAACTATACATCATTGGAAATTATCACATATATAATTGCATCTATAATTTACGATACTCACTCTACAGAGATGGAAGCATTTAAATTAAAGTAAGGTTCTTAACTTCTGTATCATAAATAATATAACATCGGTTCTTCATGTGACGACTGAGATAATGAAACCCGAAACTCTCTAATTTCAGGCATCACAGAAGTTACTGCTTTACCTGTTTCCTCTTCATTTCAGAATCCATTTTTGGTTCCCAACTGAAGAACTTCGGCCTATGTGACGTCTCGAAAGGCCTCGCTGCTAGCCAGCGTTCCGCGCTGCCAGACTTACACTTACACTTACACTTACCTGTTACGTGGCCTGGCTTCGCATTCTTGCGGTCTATCGGTACTAGAAACAACAATTTGTCTCCCACAACTGATATGACGAGTTCCTTATCAATAACCACTTTTTAAACATTTCAGAGAAATGTGGTGTACGTATGGCTTGAATCTCTGTATATTGTAAGGCAATGGTCTTCAGCCTGGAGTACGCATACCTCCAGGGGTACGCAAAGTCTTATTACGGGATATGTGAAATTAAAATTCGTCCCTAAATTGAGGTGATGGCATGCCAGAAATAGGCTCAGTCGTCTCATTAACAAATGAGAATCATATTAATAATTGATGAAATATTTAATTATATAATTTTGCTTTGATCGTTTATTAATTTTATATGATAGGCAATAATATATTTTTATTTAATAGCTTGATTCTCCTTTTTCTCATTTGAAACTTATTATTTAATATATTATTTGGGATATAATTTATTTACTTCATTTTAGATGCATATTATAGACTATGTATAACTTGAACTACAGACCAACAACTTTGGGGTTACAAAGTTGAAGAGAAATTATATCTGGGGGTTCACGAACAAAAGAGGTTGAATACCACTGCTCTGAGAAATTCAGATTGTGGTCGTCCGACATAACACTTTGGATTTGTAGGTGGTTATTGATGCTTATGAAGAACCTACTGTCTCCATATTCCTCGTATGTGGAGGCAGTTGGTTTTCTTGAAGAGCTGATAACCACTGATAAGACTTCCCAGTGTCAAAACTCAGAAAATCAAACCTCAGACTTCGCCTCCATGAAAATTTCAAATCATATATCGAAGGAAGTTCTTCGGATGGACTGAGGGTTCTTAATCGTTAATGTAAATATCATACAACTAAAATTTGGTTTCACGTTTTGTACGGATAAAAACATTTTTAATGGAAAAGACTTTAATTTGGTGGATTGAACTGTTTATTAGAACTGTATTAAAAGTAGGCAATGTTCTATATTCTGTACAGACTTTATCAATACTCAAAACTTATGGATGTAATGACAAGTGCTTTAAGTGATTTCATGTGTTGCTAGCTAAGTGTTGTGCAGAAGCATTTCTTATGAACCATAAAAATACTTTGTAGCTGGTTGTTTTTAATAATTCTCGTTGAAACTTCAGCGGGCTTCATGGGACCAGTGTATAATGTTCGCAAATTTGCGTCTGACTTATACACCACATTCTTCAGTGTCTCACATGATGCTTTTTCATTTTGCTGATAAATGCTCTACTATATGAGGAACTTATTTTTTAGGGGAAAATGTAGCTTTGTGGGATGTTTGTGTGAGTGATTATGTTGGACTGATGCGGATCAGAATTAATTTCGCCTTAACTCCAAATATAGATCTTCAATGCTAAATTTTTTCTGAACCAGTTCGATAACTTCGAAAATAAAATATATAATTTGGCAGACGGACAGATACTCGTGTTTTTCTCCTTACCCATTTATTTCATGCTAAACCTTCATTAATGGTGTAATTTCCTCCTTTGTATTTTCAAGGCAATGGAACGAGATATGGCGAAAAGTTATCGTAGTATGACGTACATTAACGGCAGGGTTACTTTTAATGCTTGCAAAAGTGCCCTTGTGGCTTCTGGATGACTAAGCCATCATTAATAACTGACATAGTGACTGGGTGGAGCACGCGGTAGCGTATTTGGTCGAGGCACTGTACTACAAGCCGGAAGGTCGCGGGTTCGATTCCCGATGAAGTCATTAGGTTTTCAGTTGACCTAATCCTTCCAGCTGAATTACGGCCCTGAGGTCGGCTCAGCCCCTAACATAGAAGAGTACCAGAAATCTTCATAGGGAATAAAGGACGGCCGGCGCTTAAGACTGACAACCTCACCGCCATCTATGAGCATCATAAATAGTTAGTGAATAAATCAGACGATCGATTGATTTGCTAGCCTACGACATAAGTAACGTCTTCTGAAATTTTAACGTTATAATTTCATTAAGTCAAAAAGAAATAAATTATATTTTCCATAATAAATGTATAATATTTCTGCCGGGAAACCTGCGAAATAATTATCATAGTTGTGGTTATATGCGTGAATAAAATTTTGACGGATTTAATTGAATATTGTTTTAGATTTTGGGCTGGTTTTATTTGTCTCGGAATAGGTTCCAGTGGCGGCCCCTTTTGAACAGAGTACTCTGTACGAACTAAATTTCTTGAATTTGGAAAGAGATATATCATAAACATAATTGCAGATTCTGTATGAAATACGTTTATGAATCATGAATTACAAACATAACGGTATTTAGGTCCAGAAAATTTAACGCAGCAGAATAAATTGTAACATAATTGCAGTAGAAAACTATAAGCAAATTCGATTCGACTAGGGTTCGTTCCCACGACCGTCTATGCGCTCGAACTTCACATTAGCCCATTAGCTAAACTGCATGTCATCGTTAGACTGTAGTTTCGGTTAATCGAATCAGCGTGTAACAAACATTAACAGAACTCGTGCTTAAGGTCTCTGCTCCCACCTCTGTCAGCTGCAGGTGATTCACACTGAGAAGAGGGCCTCTTTACCTGTTGGATTCCCCCATACCGCCTAAGTATATTTGCGAACAGACGGAGGGACATAATTACACATACTAGATTCATCTTTCAGGGATTAACCTAACAATTATTATTATCCAACACAGGGGACATTAAACTATAGCTAACAGACCGCCTCTGTGGTCTAGTGGTCAGAGTTCCTGCCTACAGATCCAGAGGTCCAGGGTCGATTCCCGGCACTACCAGATATTCAGAGAAGTAGTGGGTCTCGAACAGGGTCCACTCAGCCTCGTGAGGATAATTGAGGAGCTGTTTCAAGGAAAAAGCGGCTCCGGTCTATAGAAATCTGAAATTAACGGCCATCGGGATTCGTTGCGCTAACCACGCGACACCCTCTACCCGATAAAGTTGGTACTAACTTCGCAAACAAGTGGCGGTCGTTCGGTCGGTGTAGTTCGTTTGCGGACTAAAACCACGGAGTTTGTTTTACAAAGTAATAAATTTCATGGTGCAGAGATTTTCATAAGAATCTAATAGTCGTTCGGGTACTAAAGAAATTCGCCGCCTTTTATTGAAACTGAAGTTTCATTACAGTGTTCATAAGTACTCGTAACTACACCCTGTCTTAAGCCAGATGAATCCAGTTTCGTCTTCCTATTTCTTTATCTCCCCTCCCATCTGCTGAAAAAGTTGGTAGGAACGGTAATATTTCTGACCTATGTTCGGGGAGATACCAGGTTCGAATCTTGGGCAGGACTTCGAATACCTGGTGGGTTTCATGGCGTACCTCTGACTCTCCATGTAAATGCTGGAATAATGCCTTAAATTAGGCCACGACTGCTTCCCTTTCAATCAATCAATCATTTACTCTCATCCGATGCTGTATAGTCTCCGTTACTGCCAATTGCGTTACATGAACTGCACACATACATAAAACAGTCTTCCTGTCTGCAATTAGGCGTGCCAGTTGCGTCATCCCTTCGGGCCATCCGACAAAATTTTTGTTCCATTTCTCATCTCCTCCATGCATGTTACATGCCCCGCCTATTTAATTCGCTTAGATTTTGTAATCCTAATAAGTCATAACAAACCAAATTTCGTAAATTTAATGCCGGTGGACTTGACTGCTGAGGGTGCTGTTTCAGTTGATAGACTGTGATGTCACAGAAGGCAGGGGCATTCTACATAATATACCCAGCATAGTGATACATATAGTATGTATGTCAGTCTATCGGGTCAGAGGCTACGTTAGAGGGCTTTATGCATTTATTCGTATTGAACTTGGCGTTCAAAAATTGTTTAGGCATGTAGCACGCGTAGAGGAAATTGTAAATTTATACACATATTGATTAGAAAACATGAAAGGAAGAGGTCACTTGCCATTTCTAGTCACAGATGAGAGAATAATTTTAAAAAAGATTGTTTGTCAGGTGTAGTGTAGGAGCAAGTCGGGGTGTATTTTGAAAGCGAGAGTGATATATCCGTGTTTTCAGTGCAGCCACGTTTCAAAGTAAATGATACAAAGTGCTACTTTTAAAAGTCGACATATTCATCCTGTAGTTGGAAGTGAGTAACAAAAGTTCTGAGTTTTGTACTACCCATTTATCAGCTCGTGGCAATCTTTTAATTTAAAATGGCGTGTTTTGGACTTATGTGCTCTGACGTCAAACCCTTTGTGGTTTGTGTACGTTGTAATACCGTGACGTTATTGTAACCGCCGAACGCACACTCTTCCTTTTTATCCGGAAACTCTTACCTTATTCGTTGAATCTAGAGGCTTGAAGGTAATCATTTCAAACCGAAGTCATGCTCTCGGTCACTTAAAAGCATCTGAATGCTCCTTTTCCGTAGAGGCCCACGTATCTTGTTTTCCTCAGCATTGCAAGCAAATATCGGAATGGTGTACCGTATTTGGCCGTGACCACTTCCTTCGACGTTGTTTCCAATTCGTTATTCACTAATCATCCCTTCATTTTATGCTGTACGATGGGGTACCCAAAAGAAACCGAACTAATTTTTTTGTGGGCAGAGCTTCTGTAGTACCGCGTTTTGCCGCTATGAGTGCATAGAGCTAACATTCCTGAGTCGATAAGCCGACTACCGTTGCTTCAGAAGGTAGGGACTAGTTTCGGCAGAGTTTATAGTGACAACTGTTTTGTGTGATCGTCGTTTTTGCAATGGCCCGAACACATGAAAATGTTGAAAAAATTCGTGAAATGATCAAGGAAGATCGACGACGGACCATTGAAGAAATTGTGGAGCTGTTGGGAGTGACTTGGAGCTCAGTTTAACGAATTTTGACAGAAGATTTGGGAATGAAAAGGGTGGCTGCGAAATTCGTGCCACGACTGCTGACTGCTGAACAAAAACAAGGTCGCGTGGAAGCATGCTGTGCTTTGAAAGAAGAGTCCCGAAATGATCAAAACTTTTTTCAGCGTTTGCTGATGTTGCTGAGGTGAAGGAAAAAAACGACGG